ATGTTCCAACTTTCTGGGGTTCGCAGCAGGCACTTGGAGACAAGCATCTTTGATAAGAAGTCCCCCAAGTTTCCATCGAAACTTCTCCTGAGGGGCGCTTCTTGTGGCTGCAGGGTTCTTCGGCTCCAGGCGGGTCCATGGCTTAGGCTACAAAGCCGAGCCTAAAGTGCTAAGCGGCAATCTGGCTCTGTCAAGTGGTTTAGGGGAGGTCAACGAAAACGACGACGACGACAACAACGACATGCAGAAGTCAAGAAGCTCGCAACCGAAGTCTCCAGCGAAGTCTTTGAAAAACAAAGCTACGTGCGCTGCTGTTGCCGGTGCTCGTGCCAATGCTGGGGCTGGTGCTGTTGTTGGTGCTGCTGTTGCTGCTGTTGCTGTTGCTGACGTTGGTGCTGGTGCTAGTGCTGGTGTTTTAAAATTCGTTAAATCCTTGAAACTTCTAAATCCGGACGATTTAAAAATTTGCAGCATTCAAAACATGTAAATATAGCGGGGCTGGGCTTCGGTGGATGCCCCAAGCCTCTGGGGCTGGGCTGGCCTGGGCTGAGGACTGGACGGCTGGGGCGATGGGGTGGCCGGGAGGGGCTGGGCTGGTGGCTGGAGGCTAGAGGAGACATTTAAATCTTTAAAGCTCTTTAAATTCATTAGATGATCTAAAAAGTTCAAATGATGTTTAATTCCGGACGACTTGAAAATGAAGGTTTCTTCGCATTTAAGTGTTTAAACTCTTTAAGTATTATATTTCCCGACGGTTTTAACAAAATTAGAGACTTTACAGAAGTTTGAGAACTGAACTCCTCGGGCTGGAGCTGGAGGCTGGGCTGCGGGTCCAGCCGGGCACATTATTTAAAAAAACTTCTTTGCATTGTTTCAATTCTTCAAAAAAATCCGGACGAAAAAACGTTTTCGATGTTGAAGAATTTACCGTTTGCATTGTTTTGATTCTTTGATTCTTTAATTCCGGACGATTTAAAAGTTTGAAGAATTTACAGCATTTGAATGAAATCAAAGAACAAATACACATGAATATATATATATAT